TAAATGGAGGGAGGGGGGGAGGGGTGAGGATGATTGAAGTTACCCTATATTTGTGTACAATGTCTCAACAATTTTTGTCCTGCAGGTAAAAAGCTGGTTACGGATTGCACAGAAATTGAACTTCATGAGGATATAACTCTGAACATTTTTTATTGTTACTATTATTTCACAGTTTTAATTAACTAGCTGATGACTGGCATCTAATAAACAAGCTCAAGGAAAACACATCAACAGTTCCTCAGGGTAACAGTTTACTTTCAACCAGAGTCTTGAGGATCAGCCTGTTAAGAAAATACTACTCGTAGAGTAGCCTTTAATTAAGGTATAGCGGACCACCCTTCACTTGGGTCACGGAAATTCAGTCATTTAAATTGTTGCTGTGCATTGAAAGTGAACCCCGCCTAACAAGCGAATTTGTCCCTGTCTTTTTTTACTGTCTCTAATTTTGCTTGGGAACAGGAGATGTTTGGCCTGTCAACACTGTATTTCCTGCTGTTTGATGAAGAACTATAGCACTGTTATACGTCGTTGTGATTGGCTATTTCACTGTTGACGTGCAAAGATCAGACTCCTCTCGGAACCGTTCTAATTATAAATCTACTTCAAGGGCTTCTATGGGAGATGTAGGCTTCTAGTTATAAGCTCCTGTGGTGCACAAAGTTTGGGTGGCCGAGAAGCAATTTGTTTTATGTGCGATGCGAAGGTATCGAGTGCTGCCACCACTCAACTTATCCCGCCGCCAGCTGGGGAGGGGTCCCGCCAGTCACCTTGCAGAGTAGCATAATCAGAAGTCTTTTCGGAATTGACCTCGATAACTCTACAAGAGCTCTATGAGAATGTTTAGCTGTTAAGCAATATGCGGTACCTAATGTTTTGTAACAGTTTTTTTTTGTTGAAATTTTAAGCTGTTTTAAGACTAAAAAACAAATTGGGAAATGTCAATTATCCTTTATAAACAGTTTATTCTATAGGAAAGTACATTCTAGGGTTTCAAAAGCTAGAACACAACATTTTATGCTTATTGCATACAAGGGGAGTACTCAACAGGCAGCCCAACAAAGAATGAACTTCAAGTTACGGAGTCAAGTCTCGCATAATTAGGGGCTTTTGATCCAACGACGCGACGACAACGAGAATGCCAAAAAGTCAATAGCTATAGGTTTAATATAAGCAAAACAACAACTTTGCACGTGCATCACATTTTTTGTACATTTCTTTCCGGTTTTTGCACGACTGCAACGTGGATATGCCTAATGTCGCGTTTTATGGAGAAGCATACACAAGCAAAGACGAAATTTTATTTCTCTTTCTAAACTTGAAAATGGTCCGCCTTGGAATTATTTCAACTTCAGGAAGGTTCGCCTACATTTGACAAAGTAAGTGGGTAGGAATAATATTGCGATAAAGACTGAAAGAACGCAAACTCCCAATTTTTTAAGCGCCGTTGTTGCCGTTCGCGTCGATGGATCTTAAAGTCCTTGATATTTTGAGACATACATCTGCTTCTTTAAACTAAAGGCTTAGGAAATAAATTTAAAGACTAGAGAAGAACTGAAGTTAACTGAGGCACTAGGCAATTTTCTTTGATTTACGTCCTAACTGGCTCCTTTTGCCCAGTTTGGGTTTCTTGAGCGATTAGCGGCCAATTTGTTAAGTTTCATACCGCTACGAAAAATCTGTTGAGCGAATGCTCGTTATTACTAGCTTCTATTTTTAAAAAATTTGCAGTCATATTTAAGAAACTTACTCTGACCTGGAAGATATAACACTGGAAGCTACGGCAAGTATTTTTTTTTTTTTTTGACCATTTTATATAGAATCATCACAAGCAAGCACTTCTATTATTATATTTTTACTTGTACAAAAATAGCGTATTCATTATCACGTTCGTTTTCTAAAATAATGTTCGATGGTTTTATGAAAAAAGCGACAAATTTCGAAAGGCCGCTTTCACAACTTTCCGCCCTCTGGTGGCACCGAATCACATTCTTCTTTTTCGCTGATTAGATTGGCCCGTTTAATTATAATTAAAACAACGAAGCACCAACCGCTAAAAAAGCTTTTTCATGATGCCGTTCGTCTTCCACAGCTGCTTCCACACCATATATAGACACTGTATAGAGTCACTTTTACTTCTTGTTTATTTGTCCCATCATGTTCATTTTATTCATTTGGCTAATTTTTCTGGTAAGCATGGCAATTACAATGCTTCTGCTGTTTTTTTGCTAGTTGTTATTCAAATTTTAAAACTTGCTCATTTTTTAACACATGTACGGTTCCTTTGTGTTCGCTTTTCGTTTTGTGTAAGCACGAGAGTTTTAAAAATGCACCTTTTCATCGTTTTCAACAGGTTATTATTAAAAAAAAAAAGTCAACAAAAGAGCAGGCCACTGAGATCATAGTCAATCAGTAGAGGAGATTGGTTATGAAAGCCCGCAAACATCAAAGTCGAAAACAACGGTACTGTAGTCTAAGTTGGAAGCTCCCTGACCGTGCACAATCCTTTGATTTTTGTTCACAAATTGTGACTGGATAAATTAATGCGACGTTTCTATTGGTCACTATCTTCAAAATGATAGGAATGCTATTGAACGTTGTGAGAGGTCAGGTCCAACAAAGCTAACAACAACATATAACAAAGGAGTCCAACTGGTTTCATAACCATTCCAAAAAAATAAATATACTGAGATGGAACAGGAAGCCATTATTCTCGGCTTGCACTGTCACGCAATAAAAAATAAAAATGCAAACCATTCAATACAGAAGGACTAGAATCTGGGAAATGAAAAAAGATAAATATACAAAAACCCCTGCCAAGAATCAGGTCTGTGAAATATTCCAAATGCGAGATATTGGGAAAAACGGTTTACCTAAATTTATAAAGCTTTGTATGGAAACGCCATGTTGCTGTCCCTTTCAGAACCACCAATATGGCCGCCGGATAGCAACAGAAACATCTGTTTTCGAGTTTTCCTACTAATGCGTGAATTCTTCGCTTGAGGAACTCATAAAGATTACAGTAATATTTAAACTGAGACAAGGAATGTTTAGATTGCAAAATCTCCCAAAATCGGTAATGTTTTTAACCCACATAAGAGCTTTCCCGGCCGCCAAGCATCTAAATGCCGCGTCACGCAAAATCCTGGAAATTCAAGCCTCCTCTCTCGCGAAACGAAGAACCCTTTCGAACAAAAAATTTTTTTGTGTAAAGGTGTTTCAGTACTGTAATACCTCGTGAAAGTAGAAACTCAGAAGAATCGATAGTTTCTTAGTTTGATTTTTGGTGACGTCACGTGCAAGCCAAGAAATCAACGAAACCAAATCAAACTATTATGCCTTTATTCCTTCCTATTATTCCTATTATTACTATTATTCCTATTATTCCTATTATTCTTCCTATTATTCCTTTATTTTGTGGACTTATTTTTATTTTTTGATATGTAGAAACTGGTCAATTAGTAAAATTAAGGACGATTTCTCTTCAGTCTCTTTTGCTTTATTGATATTCATGTTACAATAATCTAGTTTTCCTACGCATGCGTTTAATAAATCGAAAATGACCCTTTCCGTGGATGACAGTATGTCTGTTTAGTTCTAGTACGAGCTGAATCAATCAATCAATCAATCAACCAACCAACGTAACCAATTACTCAGCAATAAATCAATCAATCAACCAACCAAGGTAACCAACCAATCGATCAACCAATTAATCAATCAATCAATTAATCATTCAGCCAACCAACCAACCAAGCCACCAATCAATCACAGTGGCGGATCCAGGGGAGGGGCCCGGGGGCACCGCCCGCCCCTTATTTTTAGACGAAACTGAGGCCAGAAGGGCCAAAAAAATTTTATTGGAGACCGGGCCCCTCCTTATCTGAGGGTCTGGATGACCGTCCCCACCACCCGCCCCCCCCCCCCCCCC